TTATGCTTTCCACAAAATCCAAATCACTATATATATACAGAACTGGCTTCATGCAATACAGTAAGCTATAATGTGAACTGTAAGGCATATTTAGTGTACTATATGAAAATACTTAAGTCTTTAACACAATAGATTCAACTGAACTTGCATGATGATGGTAAACACAGTCAAGTTCCTAGAAATACCTTTTATTATTGCCTTTTTTATTTCTACCATTCAGTGTTTACTTTATATAAATTCCCATTCAATAATGAGAAACAGAAAAAATTGTAGCTACATTTTTTTATTGTATGTCACCACTTCACATTTTGTGAAATGGGTGGCCATATAAATATGATAAATTAAATAAATTCAGCTTTCTGTCATTCTAACAAGTTTAACCTATAGTATGTATCCTTTTTTTTCCATCACAGAGCTTTAAAAATATACATATCAGTCTTTAAAGAACTAAAACAGTTACATTCATAACTATTAGTACTTTACTATGCATCTTAAATACATCTAATTTTATTCAGCATATACTTTAAAACATGGAACTGAATGTTTCCACGGTGATAAGCTATATAGCAAAGAAAAACATGACAGTGTCTCTGTTATGTAAGACAGGTGTAGTTTATAAAGACTGTTACCAATATTGGTAAATGAAAACTACAGATAGTCCTTGACTTATGACCATAATTGAACCCAAAATTTCTTTTGCTAAGTGAGTTTTGCCCCATTTTATGACCTTTCTTACCACATTTAAATGAATCACTGCAGTTGTTAAGTTAGTAACACGGTTGTTAAGTGAATCTGGCTTCCCCATTGACTTGGCTTATCAGAAGATTGCAAAAGGTGATCACATGATCCTGGGACACTGCAACCGTCATAAATATGAGTCAGTTGCCAAGCATCTGAATTTTGATCACATGACCATGGAGATGCTGCAACGGTTGTGTGAAAAATGGTCATGTCCCTTTTTCAGTCTCATTGTAACTTCAAATGGTCATTAAACAAACTGTTTTAGTTGAGGACATTGCAACTTCAGTTGTTAAATGAACAGTTATAAGTTGAGGATTACCTATATATATGTCTGTATGCCCACAGGGAAAGAGAGGCATACACAATGCTTTCCAGATTTTTATATCACCACTTTATTTTACTATTCCAAAGGCAATCTTTTCATTTTTGTTAGTAGAAACCAATTGGAGGAAAAACATTAAATTTATATATAGATAACTTTATAGTAAAAGATACCAGAATAGTAAGCAGCTTATAAAAACATGAAAAAGATTTCTTATAAATGTAACCTATAATATCCAAGCTTTATCTCTAAAATTCTAAAAGTACAATTCACTATAAAAATGTATATTAATTTGTCTTAAGAGGTGACACACAGAACAAATGATCACACAAAACAATCTGACAGTAAATATAGGTAATTTAAATATATGAAATTTAAAAATAGTTATTTTGGTGCAAATCTTAAAGTCAGCCAAGAAAAGTAAAGGGAGGAAGGTCAGGGATCATATTTTAAGATTGAGTAACCCCATTGCGAGCCGACTTCTTAAATAACAATGCCTTTTGCAGAGCATAAACAATAGCTCTGGAAAACAAACCTGAGCCTGCACAATCACCATGCAAGCCCAGAAGAAGACATGTCTCCTTTAAAGAGTTCCTGATAGGTAAAGTTACCCTAGTTAAGCCAAATCTGAAGCAACTTTACTTGTTCCAGATGCAAATACTGCAAATTCTCTATTAATAACCTACTCCCTATGGAGTTTCAATAATTTCAAATTGTTCGAGAAGACCCTGAAGAAATTCCAAGGAGCTGTAAGAGAGAAAAGGGATGGATATTTTCCTTCCATTATTTTCTTAGAAATCAAGTCTATATATCTAAACAGAGCAGGCACTTAAGACCCATGACTAGATATTAAAAAACTAATTAGAAAAACACTCACCACAAAAACAGGTATAAATACTAGGAACCTGTGATGAAACATTTTGACACGCAGGGCACCGCCAGCCACAGTTACCATCTAGAAAACAAGCAAACACCACCCAATTTAATTTTCCCAATTTATTTCAAGGCATAGTTGATCACCTGTTATTTATTTTTATTAAGTTTTTTTTAGTATTAGTATTATTGTTTTAAATAACTTCAGGTAGTGAACATACCTAATATTCCCTCCTCCTCCTATTTTCCCCATAACAACAAGGTGTGAGGTGGGTTGTACTGAGAGACAATGACTGGACTGAAGTCACACAGCTGGCTCATGCTTAAGGCAGGACTAGAATTCACAGCCTAGTTAGTGCCTTAACCACTAGACCAAACTGGCTCTCATGTTTTAAAAGAGTAGCAACACACTGAATAACAAAGACTTATGTACTGAACCATTTTGTTATACATGAAATTACTTGATACATTCTTCTAATAATCTGGCTTAATACTATATGAGAAAATCAGAATGCTTGATGTAATGAATTTCTCAATACATTTAACAGGAGGACATACTAACCTTCTGTCTGTGCTGCTGGAGATCTTGCCCACTTCTTAATGCAGCTTAAGTGGAAAACATGATAGCAATTCCGGCAACTCCAAACTGGGGCTACCACACGGATCACTTCACAACATACCATACATTCATATTTTTCTGAGGTAAGCTGCTCTATCAGAGACCCTAGGAGAGATTTTAGTTTAGAAATATTAAACATACTAAATACTAGTACACAAATATTTATTTAGTATATTTATTAAAATGCAGTAAATCAGAAGTATAACCACATTAAAGTAGCATATTTGTAGCAAATTTAGTGTCAAGGTTTACTCAAGCACAGTGTTGTAAGGGAGACTATTTGGTCTGAACTAGTATATAAAGCCAGTAACCCTTTCATTATGTCAAAGATACCTTTCCGGATAGAACATCTGTCCCTGTTGTAGCTAAATAGTCCCCTTCAAACATCAATTGATTAAAAAGCATCATGTACTGTGCTATTCCCAGATACTCATTCTTTCAAACCTGGCACTAACACTACCATTATCTAAATATTCACTTTTTTCATTACTGAAGTAGGCAATCTGATTTTCTGCAAGCACCAGTCAACTTATGCAGCAAGAGTATAATAGTCATTAAACATCAGACAGTGAGAGAACATCAGGCTGTTCAGCAGTACAAGAAAGATTAAAAACATCATGCAGATGCTGACATTACAATATTAGTTCAGTGCCTTCCCAGTAATACTGCATTTCAAGAAATTGTTATAAATAATAACAGTCTCAAATACATTGTTTTCAAAATGTTCAACTGTGAGAGAACACTGAGACAGCAATTTCATAAGCTATACCATGGTCTAAAAATCGGAATGCACATATTGTAGTTTGTAAATTATATTTTCTGATTTAACAGCAGGCATGAATCCCACAAAATATAGTTTAGGCAAAACATGATTAACGAAATCATATCTTGGTACAATGTGTGAACTATGTCATTGCCTCAGCTGCTGTGGAAATGTACATGCTTGTGAGCTAAAGAAAATTTGGGACATGTTCCACATATTCCAAAGGCAAAGATTAACTCTCTTAGGATTCACCAATAACCTTACATGAACAAAAACTATCTTGCACCATTGCACCCAAAGATCTTTACAAGTTTGAGACTTCTTTAGACATTATGAAGAGCTCCTGATAAACCTCAAACAACTACATAGTTCTCAAGGGCACATTTTTAAAGCTATTAGTGCTCTATTTGGAAAGCAAATAAACTATCACACTCAGTTCAAAACCTGAACTGAATCAAAAAGTAACCAGCAACATTATTCAATAGGAAGAAGAGCTGTGAAAGTGATCTTTCCCCTCTTTTGTATATATTGTATCGCTAACTGCTATAACAAGCATTTCTAAATGCTATGTAAAATTAGGGGCATGGGAAATGGGTGGAAAGAGAAAAATAAAACCATGCTTATTAAGAGATGGCAATTTCTATTGCCACATATTAGTACAAGAACCAAGTTTTTGCTTCTTTATCAATGGCTTCATATTGCAACACTACAATCACAAATTATACATCATAAGCTTTTTACTAAAGCATCTTTCTACTATATGACTTGGCTATAGTAATAAGTCTGCTGCATTAAGCATTTCTAAATTTACCTGTATGAGTTTCTTTGCTCTTTGGTGCATCAATTTGCTTTTTCCAGCGTCTGTTTTTATATCCTTCTTGAAGAAGTGGTTTCCTCCCATCACGTGTAGCTGCTTCACAGAACGACTGTGTCTCTGCCGCACTCACTAAGTTTGGACCTCTTTCATGCAATACAGATTCTTTCCTCTTCTCACTGGTGCGTTCTCTGGGAGGATGTGGAAGAGATGCATTCTTAACGTGTTTTGCATTTTTACTTCTGGATGTATCTTGCTTTTTGCCAGTTTCTTTATTCCATGCAGATTCTCTAAAATGCCTGTTTGCAAAAGGGTATTTTCTTCTTGCAATGCTATTGTCAGAAAAGCCATCAGATACTGTTTTTCCAAGAGATGTTTCAGATGAATCTGACTGGGTCGGATCTACTGCTGGAATATTTTCAAAAGCCTTTTCTTTCCATTTAGTTGATATTCTTTTTTCCCTCTCAGATGAATGTTTCTCTTTTTCTTTCAATCCTCTTCCACGTGAATGCATCAAATATGTCTTCTTCGGCTTTGCTCCTCTGTTATTTGCAGTAGCAGTTTCTTTTTCACTGTCTGAAGAGAAATCGCTGTATTCTCTATGATTCATCCTACGCCCTACAATTAATCTAGTGCCTAAACATGTAGAATCCTCTGTGCTCCCTGCAGGTATTTGCTTCGTTTGATTTTTCCCATGTGTTCGATCATTCCTTGATCTTTGCCACCGCTGACTATGTATGTTACTGCTTTTAGTTTTACCAATACTGTGAGATCGTGAAGAATCTGGCTGACATCCATGCTGGCTTTCTGGGCTGTAGAAAGTATTATGATCTGTAACTGAATCTTCACATTTACTATGCCTAGGTTGAACAGAAGAAGGTAAAGAATTTCTGCTTGAATCACAATCAAATTCCAGCCTGGATTGATTGCTCCAACTTGGATTGAAAATTTGTCTTTCTCTTGGAACAAAATCAGTTGCATCTGGATTTAAGACACCTAAGAAAAAGGACAACATATATTATGAAACAAGGATATCACTATTCAGGGAAGACATTTGAATTAACTGGGGCAAATAACAGGCTCTATTCATCACTTTTAGAAAAAGGTTCTTGTGAGCCAATTGAGATTATACATTTATTATCAAAGACAGTTGTTTCATTAGACCACAATATTACCACTTTCTCAAACAACAGTAAGACGCAGCAATTACAACGGTGTTTTAAAAAGCATTATAATAATCATATTCATAAATAATGTGTTATAAAGTGGTTACATTTTGTAAACAAATCATCTTTAAATCTCCTATATAACTTGTTTTTTAAGCTGTAGTACAGTGTTAAACTCTCCATAAACATCTTGCTGCTATTTTAGGGAGGCAATTATTTTTTAAAATCACAATTAGCAATTCCTACCTGGCAACTACTCTGAAAATACTAATGCACAAAGCTACATTTTAAAAGAAAGCATTTATTAAACGCAGGGTACTATTTTTAAAGACAAGAAATCTGAAATAATTATAAATTTCAGTTCAAACTATCAGAGTGGTTGACTCCAGAAAATGAGGAAAATAGATTGGCAGAGCTAAGCCACTGCTGTTCAGAAATAACGTTTAACAGCTACTGTCTTCATCTTTCAAAAACTGCAATCTCTGGTGCACACGGACAAAAACAAAACGGCATCTCAATAACGCAACGCAATCGGAAAGAAGCCTAATTCCTTAGGGTGACCTTTGAATGGATGTGTTGAAGTTTTCAAAAGCATTTCCCGTCTTGGTATGTTCTGTCCCATTGGCCGTGATCTGGACTGGATAGGCAGGATGCCCCTTTTATATATGAGCGTCACATCTGTTGATGCAAGATGCACTGCAGCAGCAGCAGAGCACGGCTGGAATGAATATTCATTTCCCCCCCCCCTCCATGCTTTGCACGACACATTCCCAGTGTCTGTCACCTGGAAATATATGCCATTTAATTGCCTTGGTGATATGTTAATATATGTATGTATGTATGTATGTATGTATGTATGTATGTATGTATGTATGTATTATGTATGTATACACACACACACACACACACACACAGGGAGAGGGAGGAGAGCACGAACACCTTATCCAGACAGGTGAACATGAGAAGGACCCACAATAAATAGAGAAGCCGTTCTTGCGCCCACCGCCTCTCTCTTAAGTCCCTCTGCAGTCAAGGAAGGCAAGAACTTGCCCTCACGGAGGTCGCTGCCCGCGAGACATTCGCATTCCCCTTCTCCTCCAGGCCTCGGGGGACCTCAGCTTTGCCGAGAAGGGACAAAGAGCAGAATATAGACGGGGGCGCCGTTGGTAGAGATGGTGCCCGAAGAACCAAAGTCTCCGGCTTTCCTCCCCCCCCCCGCCTCCTTTCCGGGAACGGGACGGAAAGCCCGGCCTCCCGCGGTCGGGTCGGGTCGGGCTCAGGCTTCTTCCACTCGTGGGTTAGCTACCCCCAGTCGGGGTCGCCACGGGGTAACCCCCCCTCCCCTTTCTCTGCTTCCAAGTCCCCGGAGGTCTTACCTGAGTTTGGCAGGGCCGCCTCCGCCATGCCTCGCGCCCCACCACGCGCCCAACCGACCCGCCACCTCAACCAGCCGAGCTCCCGCCCTTCCGCGAAGCTACTCCGAAGCGCTCCTTACCCGTCCCTCTGCGACGCGCAGGCGCCGTGCTCAGCCCGCCCCTCTTCGCCTCACGCCACCCTCCGCTCGGCTCGGCTCGGCTCGGCGCTCTTTTGCTGGGGGGGGTCCCACCTGGTAGAGCAGGAAAGGTGTAGGGCCGCCTCTGAAACTTTAGGCGGCCGGGGGGTTGCCAAAATAGGCCGACGAGGGCTTAGCCTGCCAGAAACGAGGAAGCTCCCAGCAGCAGGGGGAAATTGGAATGCCGTGCTCACTTCGATCGGTATTGAATCTAGCTTTCCTGTCTTCGGGAAATCGAAACAGAGGTTCAGTGTGAGCTTTTCTCCCCGGGATTCTCTTTTAAAATGACAGCGAACACGTGTCTTAAACCAAGCGGCTTTCCCCGCCTCCGCGATTTCATTTTGAGCAGAGAAGCAGGCTATTGGGATAGCACCCGGACGTGTATGGTGGTCTGAACGCTCCCTCTAAGACCAGTGTTTCTCAACCTTGACCATTTTAAGGCATGTGGACTTCAACTCCCAGAATTCCACAGCCAGCAAAGCTGGCTGTGGAATTCTGGGAGTTGAAGTCCACATGCCTTAAAATGGTCAAGGTTGAGAAACACTGCTCTAAGACTGCGAGATAATAGCCCTGATTTTAATGTCAGCGAGGTTCAGTTGTCAGATGTTGGGAGGCAGAATTGCCTCTGCTTTCAGCATTTTACTGTATGTTGTCCTTAGGTACAGTGTCCCAAAGGTGGTTTTTTGTTTTTTTTAAAGGCAACTGGACTTTCTTTGTTTTCCTTGAAGGTGGACGTTTCGCTTCTCATTCAAGAAGCTTCTCCAGTTCTGACTGAATGGTGGATGACCGAGAATCTCCATAGTCATTAGGTGCAATAGAACAGGGCTTTTCAACGGTTTTACTGATTGTACCACTTTTAGGATATGGCAATATTCGAGTACCACCTAGCAAGGTGTCAAAAACTTGATGACCCCCCCCCCCCCAAAAAAAACCCTGTTCAAAGTTGCAATTGCACTGAAATGACTTATGACCATTTTTCACACTTATGACCATTGCAGCATGCCCAGGGTCATGTGATTTATATTTGGATGCTTGGCAACTGATTCATATTTATAATGGTCACAGTGTTCCTGGGTCATGTGATCCCCTTCTGCAACCTTTTGACAAGCAAAGTCAATGGCAGAGCTGCTGGTGGCCAAGTGCTAAGGCGGGACTTCCTTTCCTCCCTCCCTTGCCTCCCTTTTTCTCATTCTCATCTTCTGAAGGAAAAATTGAAACCCCCCCCCATATTTTCCCTCTTCCATATATTGATCAAACAAGGAAAGGCCTCCAGAGACAGAAAAGACAAGCTGCTGAGTGAACTAGCTTAAAAAGGCACATTCCCCTTTAAGAATTAGCTACTGGCTAGAAAGGAAAGTAAGGAGCTTGGCTGGCACTTAAGGAAGAAAAAAAAATGTAAGTGCTGGCTGCAGGCTAAGGCAGCCTCCCCAAATGGCTCCATTCATAAATAAAGGAATGCTACAGGCAAAATCCATTCAGGAGGAAAATACTTCAAAATCCCTTGCAGCAAAACTTAAAGCTAACAACAGCAGAGCAATAGAAGTTAACAGGAGACATCAGCCAAATAGAAATTGCCAAACACTCCTTAAGAAAACAAAGCCCACATTGCACAAATCTCAGAACTTCAAAGACACAAAAGCACATAAAAATCCATCCACTCTCCATCCCCTTGTGCCTCACCTCCAGCCATTGCTGCCTTTTTTCATTCCTCTTGGAGGGCGACCCCTCCCCTGCTGCATTTCTTGCCTGTTTGCTGCTGCCAGCACAGGTGGTTGCCACAGCAGTTGTAGATCCGGCTCATGGCCAGCCTGCTTGATCCCCTCTCCTCCCTCCTCCTCCTCCTTCTTCTCCTTCGGTGCAGCTGACTCCACTTCCTCCCAAGGCTGCTGCTTTTTCTCTCTCTCCCTCTCCTGCCCAAACTGCCTCCTTTTATAACCTCTCCTGGGTGAGCCAGAAGTGAGTCTGGGGCCTTTGCAGCTCCAGAGGACTCTCTCACTGTAACTCCTTGCCTGTGCTGGCTCTTTCCCTCCCCCACTACACTTGGCTAGGCAGGGCTGCGTACCACCTGCCACTCATTAATGTACCACAAGTGGTACGCATATCACCGGTTGAAAAGCCCTGCAATAGAAGACACTATCCTATTCTTTTTCAAGCAAAATCCACACTACTAATCTACTTATGTATCTGGAGTTGGAGGATAACCAATTCTAGATAGCAAACACAATATCTTGGATCATCCTTTAAATTCTAAATCCAATAGCAACAGCACTTACTTAGATACTGCTTCACAGTTCTTTACTGCCCTCTCTAAGCAGTTCACAGAGTCAGCATATTGCCCCCAACAATCGGGGTCCTCATTTTACCGACCTCGGAAGGATGGAAGGCTGAGATCAACCTTGAGCTGGTGAGAATCGAACTACTGGCAGTCAGCAGAATTAGCCTGCAATACTGCATTTTAATCTCTGCGCCGCTATGGTTCTTCAGTGGTATATATCCTAAGTTTGATAGAAATTAATACATAATCAAATCTGACTACCTAATAACTATATATCAAGTTATCTATCTTAAATCCTGTCAGAATTTTGTACAAAGTTTATTTTCTGGAACGGCTGTTCCCTTATTTATATGAGACCCATAAATTTCATCAGTAAAGCCTACCCCATTATGCAAAAATCTTGTTACTGTATATCCATGAAGTAATTTGCAAGACATAAGCCCTATTGGAACTAAGGGTAGCCACCTGATGAATGCAGTAGTGTTAAGTATATTAAAACATCAAGAACATTTGGTTCTCATTTTCTTAATTCAAGATTATGTGAAGACTTGTCTTATACATGTTTGAATCTGAAAATGAACTGAATCTGAATTATTTATACAAATTTAGAATATTTAACAAGGAAAGACAGGTTTGGGTTTTCCATATTTTTGATAATTTCCAGCTGAGAGCATTGTCAAATGGGCACATCCTAGGAAGTTACATGCCATTTAAATATTATATGTATCCAGTGGTTGAAATTAGAGGATAATGCTGTAAATCTGAAAGACAATCCTTCGGATGATTCCATACTTAAATATATTTCTTTGTTAAAATACAAGCTTTAACCTGTTTCATCCATCCCAACCCTATCAACTTTCAGACATTAGATTAAGCCATTGACAACATTCTACCCAGCCTGCAGTAAAATATACAATTGGGTATCATCACTCTCCTGATCTGTCCTGTCCTGATGAATTAGCTCTTGGTCCCAGATGTTTCATGCAAATATTAAAAAGGAGAGACTCAATTAAAGTACAGCCTTAATTAAAGAAATGGCCTTAATTTACCCAGTGTTCTACATTGAGTCAAATCAACCAATTTGTTTATAGTGAAAAATCTCTGGCCTCCCAAATAGTGAGGTCTGTGTTTTAATGACAATATATCAGGAGAACTGAGGATGCATTCAGCCAAAACAATTTCCACATTCTGTTTCCAGAATTAGAAGCAGATTGCAGCAAAGATGGCATTAACAGTTTTCCTCACATATTTTCTTCTTTAATGATTGTTATCAGGGTGTCAATATATTTTCAACACACCCACATAGACAAAAAGAAGTAGGAATATGCAGAAATTCAAATCAAGATATGATAGTTTAGGATAGTTAAGCAAATCTGTCTTCTGTTAATAACAATAATATGAAAATGGGGTTTCACCAGCTAGATGAAGCCATTACGGGGAGATCTGCATTCCTACAGAAAGAGCAGGTTTATGCTTTATTAATATTGCTGTCACAGATGTCACTGTTTCTGAAAGTCTGAATCAGAACTGTGGTTGGAATAATCTTTCTTGAAAACAAAATGATGGTAATTATTTTAAAATTATTTCTACCCTAATGTTTTTGACCATCTTATCTTTTTCCCATTTTAGGAAGGACACAATAGTGGAAATTATTTTTTTACTATGAAATCTTCTTAACCTCTGTTCATCATGTACAATACTCTTCCCATTTAAAAAAAATATGGAGGAACCCGAAACAGCTTTTCTTTGTGTTATACAGGGAGTCCTCAACTTACGACCACAATTGGGACCAGAATTTTTAAGTAAGGTGGTTATTAGTGAGTCACGCATTTGTTGCCATGGTTGCTCAGTGAATCATTGCAGTTGTTAAGTGAATCACATGGTCATCAAGTGAATCCAGTTTCCCCCATTGACTTTGCTTGTTGGAAGCCCGCTGGGAAAGTCACAAATGGCAATCACCTGACCCCATGATGCTGCAACCATCCTAAATGCATGCCGGTTGCCAAGTGCCCAAATTTTGATCATGTGACCCTGGGGCTGCTGCAACAGTCATAGTTGCAAGAACTGATCATAAATCAGTATCTTCAGTGCCGTTATCAAACGATTGCTAAACAAATGGTTGTAAATCAAGAGCTACCTGTATTTAGCAATATTTATTGAAAATTAAAGCTGACACATTTGCTGTCACTACTGCTTCTCATACTTGTTTGATAGAATTTTAATACTGTATTATTTTTCAACACAGACTGGGAAATATTTTTTATTTCATAGACCCCTGAAAGAGGGTTGATGTACCCCCCGGGTTCTTTAGATCACACTTTGAGAAACACTGCGCTAGGACAGGAGTGTCAAACTCGCCATGTCATGTGACGTGTTGCGACGTATCGTGACTTTTTCCCCATTGCAGGAGCTGGGGTGGGTGTGGTTTTGGCATGACGCATCCGGCCCGTGGGCCGGCAGTTTGACACCCCTGCTCTAGGAGAAACAGCTGCTGAAAAAAAAATCTGGTCATGATTTTGAATTATTTGCTAGGGAATTGAGAAGCATATAATATGCCACCCCCATATTCTCTCAGCAAACACAAATCAGCAATATTTCCAAA